GACACCATGCCTGGCTTAGAGCCTTCTTGTATCCTCTAATATTCCTCCTACACTCATATTCCTCAGTCTCACAGCAGCTGGAGGAAAAAAGAATCAACACAGCTACTGGCTACAGCCAGCCTAAGGGCAGACTCTGGAAACACATGTAGGTGAGAGTTGCTAAGAAAATAAAATTTGCCTTTGGAATATTAGGACATTGAAATAAGCAAGTTTTTTTTTTTTTTTTTTTTTTTTTTTTAAGAAGGAAGGGATTTATTTTCTCTGAGACAAGGCCTTGCTACATAGCCCAGGCTCCTACTTGCTGAGTGCTAGGACTACAGGTCTGCTCCACCAATCCACCAAGCCTTGATGGGGATGAGGAATAGGTAAAATTGCCCCTTCTCTATGCTCATACTTTTTAACTTTTAAATATTTTTTAAATTATTTTTATTTTATGTGTATATGTGTATTGCCCGTATGTAGGTAAGTGTCGTGCAATGCCTGCGGAGGTCAGAAGAGGCTGTCGGATCCCCTGGGACTGGAGTTACGGACAGTTGTTAGCTGTCATGTGGGTGCTGGGATTCGAACCCGGGTCTTCTGCAAGAACAGCCAGTGTTCTTAACTGCTGAGCCATCTCTCCAGCCCCCACTTTTTAACTTTTAATTAATTTTAAGTGTATGAGTGTTTTGCCTGCATGTGTCTAAGTGCACCAGTGTCGTGCAATGCTCGTGGAGGCAAGAGGAGGATGTTGGATCCCCTGCAACTGGAGTAGGAACGGTTGTCAGTTGCCATGTGGGTGCTGGGAACTGAACCCAGGTCCTCTGCAAGAGCAGTCAATGCTTTTAACTGCTGAGCCATCTCTCCAAAACCCTCTATGTTTGTACTTTTATTGGAGAACTCACTGCTTTGCATTATGGCTGAGTTAGGTCAGCATCTCCTATTGAACTAATAGTCATGGAATGTGGAATGTGAGCCTTGATTATCCTTGTGGGTTTCACAGTCATCATTTTAAGGGAATGGATATTATGCTGGACTCAGATTGAAATGTAGATCCTGCCCTCTAGGAAGTCTACATCCAGAATGGGAGGGAAGACATGCCCAAGAGTAGTAAGAACACAGGGAGACATTGGCACTCGTGCACTCACTAGAGAATCATTTGTGTTTGAAGCTGGACACACAGAGGTTAGTTAAACCAGTTTCCTTAGTAGCCTCAGTCTAGACAGAGGAGCTTTCAAGTAAACAAACTTTGTATGTACCAAGTGGTGGGGTAGGTAAACCCATGGAGCTCATGGAACCAAGCCAGAAGGGTACCTAACCCACTGTGCCTGCTGATAGGGAGGTGCCAGTGAAGTTTTTGTGAAGGGGTGAGATCTGAGCTGAGTTGTGGCAGAGAAATAGGAGTTGGTTAAATAAAGAAATGGCACAGTAATGTAGATGTGACATACTGGGGGGACTTCTGGAGGAGTTGAATGAGTCAGGCCCTCAGGGAGGTCACTGTCATTGGTGCCACTGAAGATTTCTCATGGTCTGAGCAGGAGAATAAGGCAGGAGTATGCAGGAGGGAAGAGTGGCTATGGCCTTTCTTGGGATTCAGATGTAGGCTGGATCAAGAGATGGAGAAGTGGGGCCTTCTGAGGCTGCATGCATGAGAAACTGAGGAGGCCATGAGAATATGTAGTGTAAAGGAGGAGAGATAAGAGTCCAGCAGACAGTTTTGGTGATGTGTGTGGAATATGGATCTCCCAAGGATTCTTTATTTTTTATTTTATGTGTATGCATGTATTGCCTGCATGTAGGTAAGTGCACTCATGTCGTGCAATGCCTGCGGAGGTCAGAAGAGGCTATCAGATCCCATGGGACTGGCGTTATGGGCAGTTGTTAGCCTGCCATGTGGGTACTGGGATTTGAAACCAGGTCTTCTGTAAGAACAACCAGTGTTCTTAACTGCTGAGTCATCTCTCCAGCCCCAGGATTCTTTTTTTTTTTTGAGACAGCCTCATGTATACCATGCTTATCTTGAACTTACTGTGCAACTGAGGATGAACCTCAGCTTCTGATCCTCCATCTCCCAAATGCTGAGAGTATAAGTGTGCAGTACTGTATCTGGTTTATGAAGTACTTGGGATTAAACCCAGGGCCTTAGGCAAGCTAGGCAAGTACTCTATCCACTGAGCTACATTGCCAACCCTAGATTTTCAAGGATTCTAGTTTGATTTCTGGAATGGGGGTGGCAGTGGTAGAATTTTGAGTAAAAATGAAAATGACTTAGTTTTTTAAGGATTTATTTTATTTATGTGTGTGCATGTATCTTTGGAAGTATATGTGTGCATGTGTGCACAGGTGCATGGAGGCCAGAAGAGAGCATGAAATTACTTGGAACTGTAATTTACAGGCATTTTTGAGACCCCTGGCTTGACATGTGTGTGCTGGGATCTGAACTCTGGTCTTCACTATTACATAGCAAGTGCTCTTAATTGCTAAGCCATCTCTCCAGTCCCCTACTAACATTAAAAAATTATTATTATTTGTGTGTGTGTGCGTGTGTGTGTGTGTGTGTGTGTGTGTGTGTATGCAAGTGTGCCACAGTTCATGTGTGGAGGTCAGAGGACAACTTTCAAGAGCTGGTTTTCTTTTTCCACCATGAGCCCTAGTGATTAAACTCAGGTCTTCAGGTATGTGTGGCAAAATGCTGTTACCCATGGAGTCATCTCACTGGTTCACAATTTTTGGACACTTAAAATGAGCCAGGAATCTTCATATTTTACCTCATTTAATTCTCACTACAGCCTTGGGAAGTTGTTCTTGTGATTATCTCTCATTTTATAGGTGGAAAAACCAACCAAACAACTCATTCAAGGAGAAATCCTCCTGCCTTACTCATGTTGGGACTGCAGTTAATTAAATTAATTAAACAAATTTATTTATTGATAAAAATAATTTAAAAAGTCTACTAAAGCAGAGCTTTAAAAAACAAAATTCTGCCAGGTGTGGTGGCATATGCCTTTAATCCTAGCACTCTGGAGGCAGAGGCACGCAGATCTCTGTGAGTTCAAGGCCCATATAGTGAGTTCCAGGCCAGCTGGGGGTACAGGAAGACCCTGTCTCAAAAAGACCAAACAAAAAGCCAAAAAAACCCCAAAAACACAACAATAAAAAATTCCTTCCCAGCACTTGGGAGGCAGAGGCAGGCAGATCTCTGTAAGTTCAAGGCCAGCCTGGTCTACATAGTGAGTTCCAGGACAGCTGGGGCTACAGGGAGACCCTGTCTCAAAAAGACCAAAAAAAAAAAAAAAAAATTCCTACATTTTGTAAACATTTCCTTCAGAGGTAAACATAAATTTATATATAGTTATAAGAAATAATAGCAAGAGATCCCATCAGCATCTCCTAATGGGAACATCTTACAACCCTTTTACCCTTTCACAAAATGATTACCACAGGTCAGTGCTCTAGCTGCTGGAGTCACTGATAACAGTGAGATGAATGTGATCCCCAGGGAGAGTTAGGAAAGAAGGAAGGAAGGAAGAAAGGAAGGAAGGAAGGAAGGAAGGAAGGAAGGAAGAAAGGGAGGGAGGGAGGGAGGGAGGGAAGGAAGGAAGATAGACAGGCAGACAGTATTTGAGGGGCAGGAAGAAAAGGCCCAAGGAAACTTTGAAGGTAGGAGGCCCAGCAGGAGCGAGTGGTATCACGGAGGCTAAGGTGGACAACAACAGTGCTGTGAAGAAAGAGCAATGAAGTGTTCAGTGTTGCAGAGAGCTCCTATGAGGAGGCGTGTCCATTGGGTTTAGTAGCCAGGACACCATAGGTAGCTCAGGGAAGTAGGATTAGTTCTGTGAGGAATGAACAGCAGAGGGTAGCAAGTCCCAGCAGGAAGGAAAGAGGGGGTAAAGAAGAAATTTCCCATGGCTTTTATCTCTAGGATAAGGGTGTCCATGGGAGTAAAGATTTCAGGGCCTGCCAGACAGTGACAGGCCTTAAGGAAGTGAGAAGAATTGGAATTTCCAGCACAGTTGAGTCTTGGCTGGCAGAACAGGCACCTGTAAGATGCTGGAAGAGATGTTGATAAAGCTCTGTGGCTGTTCAGAGACAGTTGTGATTATTGCCAACAAGGCAGCTAGGGAAGGCAGAAGACATGTGACTCCTGCTGAGATGAGTGGGCTGGATTGGATGGAAGCAAGGACAGGGTCAGGCATGACAAGCCACTGAGGAGGAGGCTGGAGTGCTTGGCTTTTTACAGGGAACAATAGAGGGGTTCAGCTGGCTGAGGTTGAGGTACTTGAAGTGGATGAGGTCAGTTACTGGAGACTGAGTGGTGCTATGATTGGGTGTTACTGAGGTTCTGTGATATATTTGGTTAAAATCCCAGCTCCAAAGGGTTTATGTGCTGTGACACTTAAGAGGTTATTATCATGTCTCAAATTCATCATCTGTGAAATAGTGATACCCCTAATAGGGTTATTGAAGGAGGATCAGATAAATGTGTCCAGGAAGGTTAGTTCACTGCCTAGCTGCTGTTGAGCCTCAGTAAACAAGGGCCATCATTAATGCAAAGCCATGGGATGTATGTTCTATTAGACTAACTGGGCCACAAGGTGTGACGGGCACTGAGCTGGGAACGGCCTGCCCAGGACCTTGTCCTCAGTAGCTACTTACTGCACGCCATGCTCCCTCTGCTAGGCATCTGGCATACAAGATATAGTTTGTCTTTTGCAGGCTCAATTTGGGAGGGAGGAGGAGGGGTGCCGAGGGGTTAGCTAAGTGCCAAAACTGGGAGGAAAGAGAATAAAATGTAAAATTTTCAATTGAGCGTCTCTCCAATGTTCTTTATGAGACAGGGTCTCCCTGTAATCCCAGGTAGCTGTCCTGGAACTTGCTATGTAGACCAGGCTGGCCTCCATCTCACAGAGATCCGCCTGCCGCTGCCTCCGGAGTGCTGGGATTAAAGGCGTGCGCCCCTCCGTTCTTATTTTTCTAAAGGCTCATGTAGCCCAGGCTTGCTTTCAATTTAGCGATCCTCTCACCTTAGGCACCCAAAGGATGGGACTATAGACATGCGGAATCACGCTCCGTTCTCCCACTGTGCTTGTTGTGATGTTCCAGAGCTAGGCTAAGCAGCAGGCGCAGGACCCCAGGCTTCGGGTTCCCCCTGAGTATCAGCGGAGTTAAACTTGGAATTGACGCGGGAGCTGGGGGG